ATTCATGAATGTGTTCAATGTAAAAGTTGAACTAGTATATTATGAAGTCACTTTAAGTCTGACGAGTAAGTTTATTTACTCTTCCTGTGCTTTTGAGATCTAAAAATGTATTTAAACTAGAAAACTGCCTATAAACACGACTGATTTTCACATTTAAATCAAACTTTCTCTCAACCACATTTACTTTCGCTGTCTCCTAATTTGGATCAGCTCATGGGGGAAAATACGCCCCTGAGGCCAAAATCACTCTTCTTTTTCTTTTCAAGTGTCAGTCACTTGTCAGGACATGAGTACACCCCCCTCTGAGATTTTGTGATTGTGTAGCCACTGTGCTATTCGGGGTATGTAAGTCATTCTCTCAGACAATGTGTGAAGAAACTTAGTCACCCCGAGAGCTCGAGTGTCCCTCCGGGGGGGCTGCATGCGGCACTTAAAGATTTCATTTTTAATGTTATGTAGTTTCCACATTTTTCTGCTGAAGAATCCGTCCAGTGCATCGAGTTCTGATCCTTTTTAAGGCTCTGACAGCTGAGCTTTGGTGCATCCTTTGTCCATCTCTGTCTTTATTGATCCTATACTTTAAATGTTGTATTTTTTTCACATAATTTCTTAATCAAGGCTTTTAAATGTACTTTAGATGCACAGAAGTTTGGTTTTAGAGTCATAGATTTCCATCCATCCATTTTCTTCTGCTGATCTGGGGTTGTGCCATGGGGGCAGCAGCCTAAGCAGGGAGGCCTAGACTTCCCTGTCCCCATCTACTTGGGCCAGCTCTTCCCTGGCCAGCCATGAGACAGTCCCTCCAGCGTGTCAAGGGTTTTCCCTTGGGTCTCCTGCCAGTTGGAGGCGTCCAGGAGGCATCCTGACCAGATGCCCGAGCCACTTCAACTGGCTTTTCTTGATGGGGAGGAGCACCGGGTCTACTCCGAGTCCCTCTCAGATGACTGGGCTTCTCACCCTATTTCTAAGGGAGAGCCCAGACACCCTGTGGTGAAAACTCATTTTGGCTGCTTGTATTCGCAATATTGTTTTTCGGTCACTACCCAAAGCTCATGATCATAGGTGAGGGTAGGAACGTAGATCGTCTGGTAAATCGAGAGCTTTGCCTTCTGACTCAGCTCTCTCTTCACCACGACAGACCGGTACAACGCCCGCATCACTGCAGATGCAGCACCAATCCGCCTATTGATCTCGCACTCCATCTTTCCCTCACTCGTGAAACAAGACCCTGAGATACTTAAACTCCTCCACTTAGGGCAGGACCTCATCCCTGACCCGGAGCAGACATTCTACCCTTTTCTGACTCAGGACCATGGTCTCGGATTTTGAGGAGATGATTCTCATCCCAGCTGCTTCACACTCGGCTGCAAACTGCTCCAATGAGAGCCGGAGATCACGTTCTGATGAAGCCAACAGGACCACATCATCTACAAAAAGCAGAGACTCAACCCTTAGGCCACCAAAACAGATCCCCTCCACACCTTGGCTGCACCTAGAAATCCTGTCCATAAAGGTTATGAACAGAATCAGTGACAAACGGCAGCCTTGGCGGAGTCCAACTCTCACTGGAAACGAGTCCCACTTACTGCCGGCAACGCGGACCAAACTCTGATGGTGGTCATACAGGGACCTAACAGAATTTAAAATCTTAATTGCACACCGTGTCTGGTGTCTGTCCGAGGGTGAACTGAGCCTCAAGGGTGAGAAAATGGAATTAGATTTCAATTTATTGCACAAAAATACTGTAATGTTTCTGAAAGACTTGAAGTGTTTTGAAAGACAACAGCCTCCACCATTCAAGTTTTGAAGCCATCAAATGTAGATTAATCAAAGAGTACAACTATTGTGCAAATGGTAACAAACCAGTGATAATTGGAAAGGAGCTCTGGCTTTTTTCTGAGAACACGAAAAACTCCCAACAATGAATGTTAAAAACTAACCAGATTTCATGTTTTATGAGAACATCTGTAAGGCTTTAATGTACACATAGAAGTGTACTAAAACCACATTTTGTAAAATGACTCATAACATCGAAACAAAATGATTTAGTTTTAACAAAAACAAAACGAGTCCGAACACAATTTGCTGTCATGTATGAAGAAAAGCAGACATGGACTATTACATCATAATAAGACTCAGGCTTAGTTTTGGTAGATCCATGGGATTTTCTACAAAAGGGCAGAAATGAAGATGGGTGCAAAACAATTCCTTATTTCGGTCTTTTGCAGGATTTATTTATGAATGTTTGAATTGTTTAAAGCCACTGAAAGCTTTCAGAATATTTTTATCCAGACAAACCTGTTTAGAGTTCTAAAAATGTCTTCGCTCTTTGGTCAACTATAAAACTTGATGTCTGAAACCTTTGTCAGAAACTTTTAGCTCGTATAATTGTTTAAAATCCTATGGTTCAAAGGACCATTGTTTCTAATGATGAATGTCTTGTAAGTTGTTCTCTGGGGAAAATAAGCTCAGATTCTCCTGTTTGAGGATGTAGAAGTCAGCTGGAGGAGAAAGTAGCTCTAGACCACAGACATGATTACGTAGACGCCTCATTGGGCGCTGGAGAGCTTAACAGTGTTGCCAATCAATCAATCAATCAGTCAATCAATCAATCAGATTTTATTTATAAAGCACTTTTCAAGCAAAGTGTGACTCAAAGTGCTTTACAGAATTAAAATGACCCCAAATCCCCATAACAGTTTACAAGCATTAACAGAAGTAAGCACACACACGCACACACACACACACACACACACACACACACACACACACACACACACACACACACACACACACACACACACACACACACACACACACACACACACACACACACACACACACACACACACATACACACACACACAATCACATCATTAAAACTTTAAATTCGGCTGAGTCCAGATGAACCAAGTAAGGTAAGGCAAGGAAACACCATCAGAGGAGCCATCTGCCCCGGCAGCATCAGGTGTTCCACAGCAACTAAGTCAGGGCGCTCAGAGGAGGGGTAGCATAGACCCAACCTCCACTCAAACACTACCTGAAGAGCGCCCAGGAAGCAACATTTGACCACCGTCCCTGGGGCAGAGGGCCTCCACAGAGAGAACACTGGATTAAAATGAGTAAAAATATGAAAATAAAAGAGCTAATATAAATGACTAACGTAAGAAAAGAAATAATAAATATAATCATATGGACAATAAACGTAATAATGTAATTAAATAATGAAACTGTGCTAAAATATAATCCTATAAAACATGCAAAGCCAGTAATAAAATGTAATCATGTAAAACAAGAAATAAAACTATAAAACATTATTAGATTAAAGCTAACCTAAAGTGCCTGGACTTAAAAACACGAATGCCAGATTTCTGCACAAGCCTAATTTAATTTAAACAATTATTGCACACTTTCTGTAAATCCTATAAACTTTGTTTCATTTCTCAAATGTCACTGTGTGTGTCTCCATGATATATTTAACTGAAATGTTTTATCAGAACAACCAACGATTTATACGGAAATCCAGAAGAAGAGTAACCCAAACCCAAACTTTTGCATCATGTAAACACAATCTTCTGTAGGTTATTTGAGAAAATAAAGCACTGTCCTTGGCTTTCCTCTTGTGGGGTTCTATTTTTATTTTCTTTAATATGTTTTCATTGTCAATTTTAACTTTTGGTGTTTCCTCATTTGTGCAACTCAGCAGAACAACGGCATGTGGCAATAACAGCACGGGGCCATGGCCCGTCACATGCAGTGGCAGACTTTATAAAAATAGCCATAGAACCTTTTGGGGGTTTTTGTGCATCCTTTAAAAAACATTCATCCTTCAAATGTGTCTTCAGAGGAAGCAGATTTTCATTTTTCAGCAAAACTTTGCCAAACTTCTTCTTTTGCATGTTTTAGTAAAAATGTCTGAGTGTGAACTTGTTGCATCCAAAAGCATTTACACATTTAAGATTAAACATATATCAAAGGAGGCCCTGAGATGTTTACAAACTGAGTTTTTAATAAATCAGCCAGAAAAAAGACCAACACTGTTCAGAAAAGCAATGCAAAACGTTCAATTTCTCTATCTAATATATAAATTAGCTGTTTAATGTAGCTGTTTGATGCTGTTGGGATTGGTGGTTTGGACTTACTTAAGCAGCCCGATGATGATTTGTGTTGGAAATGCAAAACGAGTATTGGGACGTTCATGCATTGTATTTGGGAATGTGCGCCTATCAGATGTTTTTGGACCTGTATTGTCAAGATCCTAAGTAATTGGTGTGGAACAGACATCCCTTTTAACCCAGAACTGTGCTTATTGGGAGATAAATCTCAGTTGCCTAATGTAAATAAGTGTAGTTTTTCAATCATCTCAGTGGGGTTAATAACAGCCAGTCGAGTCATTTTAAGACACTGGAAAGCAGTAGAATCTCCAGAGGTTAAGGAATAGGTCTGTGCAATGGCCGAATCTGCATCATATGAATGCATGCTCAGTAAAATGAGTGAAGACAACAGAGAGGGAACTTCTCACTGGGATGGATTCTGGAACTTCTTAAAGACAGACAAAGGCCTTGGGTGAAATCAAGCATGTTATGTGACTGCTGTTGTTCCAACTTTACGTGTCTGCAGGAGTTATATGATTGGGACTTGTATTCAAAATCAACTGCTATAACTGTATGTTTAATCCCTCCATGTTTAGTATCTATTGAGACTGTTATGTACCAGCCCTTCAAAGAAAGTTCAATAAAAACTTGAATTAAAAAAAAAAAAAAAAAAAAAAAAAGCAGCCTGGTTCACGCCCTCCTGCTGCTCTTGGATTTAAAGCTGCTATAGCGAATCTACAGAACTAGCAGGTTTTGAACGCAAACACGGTGACGACCCCCCCCCCCCCAACAACCCTGGGTATCTTCCCTGAGTCGAGAACCAGTAACCTGCAATGCCAGAGTAAACACGATAGCGCTAAACACCGGATACCGTTTTCTAGGTCCAAACGTCTTTTGTTGTCCATGACTTCAAATGGTGTTTTTCTTTTGTGGGACTCTGGTAGTTTGTCCTAAAGTTGAAGTGGTAGCAGCCGGCTGTTTCTCCTTCTCTGGTGTTATAGAGCCGAGAACCTCCCACACCAGTGGTGTTCTGTTGCTCAATATGTGAGTGCGTGACGAATGAAGGACCCAGGGGAAGTGTGACGGTTTGGCAAGGCCGACAACCGGATGGTCCAATAGTTGCTTTCAGCCTGAGGCGTGTTATTGGAGGAGGTTTTTAGACAAACTTGAGAGAACCATTTTATTAATTTTTCAATGTTTTTTTCATATCTACAATATATTTATAGCTATACTTTGTTAGAATGTTGATAAGAGACACGAAAAAAAAACATTTTAAACTTATATTTGTTTTCCACATTTGCCATTGTAGCTTCAAGCCCGTGGTTAAAGACCTTCTGATCTGGGGGTTTCCTTCAGGTTTCTGCCTTAAACCAAAACCATCCTCTCCATTGCTTCTGCATACTTTAGTGATCCAGCTGTTAAACAACTCACATCTTTCAGTTCAGTTTCGTTTACTCGTGAGCAGAAGGAGGAAATGTGTGTCGGCGCTCTCAGGCAGCAGAAGGTGATTCATACCAACACGATCGCCCGGCCTGAAAACAGATTGGATGCGACAATCACACTGTGTAATAATTGAAATGAGGGAGTGAAAATATTCCTTCCTTCCTTTCTGCTTGAGTTAACAGCTGTGTGTGGACCTTAACTGACCTATAAACTCCATCAGAAGAAAATAGCCTCCCCTCCTTTCCCTTGGCTTTCTCACTACCCCTCTTTCCTTGCTCCCTCTCTTCCACCATGTTGGCTCCTGGTGGGCTCTTCTCCTCCCTGACTCCCCTCTCATCTGTCCTGTGGGTTTTTGGCTCCCTTTTTACCCTCTTGGGTTTTGATGCTGAATGAACTTTTTGAACATTTAACTTCACAGTGAACTCTTTCTTCTTGCGCTCCTGCTTACATCCAACCCGGCGATTCTCCAAACGCTTTACCGCCTCTGCTCTGTCACCTCAAACTCACATCAAAGGAGTGTTTTTTCGAAGAGGAGTTCGTCCTCCTCTGCATGCTGTCAGTGGAAGTCCTGCTTGTGGAAGTGCCCCATTGGTTCTGTGGCTCTGTGGATCTTGTGTTTGCTCTGAAAACACGGTGATGGGCTTTGAGACTTTGCTCTTTCTGTAAACAACAACCCAACACAGCACATATCATCGGTAATATTTTATTGCTGCTCACCCAGAAGATTCTGGATACTTTTGTTGTGAAGAAACGTCCTAAGTGATGAGTGCTTTGACAGGACGATACGTCTCTCCTGAGAGACAGAAATGCTGATGGAGACCATTTTCCTGTCCGAGCAGCTTACATAAGTTTCACCTTGATGGAGGTCATCCTCAACCTGCTAACTTCTGAAACCTCTCTGCTTCATACCCCCACCACTGTGAGTCTTCTCATGTACTTTCTTTTTTAGACTAAATCTACTTTGTAGTGGGATGTTGTGTTGAAATCATTAAAAGTGTCGAGGCAAACTTAGTACAACATTTTTGTACAAAACTAGGCAAAAGCTGAAATTTGTAGCCATTTTACTTCATTTTCTGTAGCTACTTGTGAGCGTTGGATGAAGTGCTCAGCATATGAATGGGATACATTGTTGTCAAACTGGATCCCATTAAACCAGCATCTCCCTGGGCTGTGGTTGTTGGTGACAGATTGTAAACGGCGTTCGCGAGGGAGTTTCCACGAGGTCTCGAAACGTTTTCAAGGTTTCTTAGTTTCCTCGCTTGTGTTCATTATTTAGTTTCAGAAATTTTCAACATGTTAGAAAAGTTACAAAATCAATTTTCTCTCAAAATAGAATCACGGCAACAGCAGGAGGCTGGAGGCTGATGCAAACTCATCCCAATAGGGAGCCTAAAGCCGGGCGTACACTGTGCGACTTTTTCACTCGTAGCACTCAGCTTCTAGCCTAGTGAACTAGACCAAATTCTTGCTTTGCAAAGTTTGGTCTAGGCATGCTCCATTGGAACCTCAGCAGCTCCTACCAGGACTCTGGCTAGCCAATCACAACCCTCTAGAGGGGTTTCAAACACACAAAGAGCTGTGATTGGTCCATAATGGTGGGCCAATCACGATAATTTAAGCCTCTCTGTACGATATTGTGGGATTTTGGATCTGGCAACACTGTTTAGTCTGGCTTGCCAGGCTACTAAGCTTCAGCTCAAACTGTACGACTTCCTCGCAGGGCAGATCTCACGAGTCATGCGCTCACACTGTAGGACCCAGTTCTCGGATGCGACCTGACTGCTCACACTGTACGTCTGGTAGCAACACGTCGGACCTAAAAATATGCTAAAAATAGCCGTTTTTACTCAACACGTGAGACTTTTTTGTCTTGTTTTGCCTGTTGTCCATCAGGAGTGCTGCAGGGGGACACACGGGGATTTATGGGGGTTGGATGAGGAAAACGAAATAAAGAAAGTAAATCTGTGTTTTGTGATCAGTTTAATTTGACACGAACACGACAAACACGCTTTCTTGACAATCTTTGTGAGTAAAAAAAAACGTGTAGAAATAAAAACGAACAACGTGTGTTATTAGGGAAATAGCGGGCGAGCGGTGGTGACGCAGGATTGCGCATGCGCCGTGAGTGGTTCTGATACTTTTTGGGTCGCAGCTGCTCGCAGCGCCGCTTCAACAGTGTGATACCCTCACGAGGGACGAGCAAAGTATTAAACACCCCAGAAGTTTGTGTGAGCTCACGATTGCTGATCGATAGCTGGTCACGTGGTGTTAATCGCCTCTCGTAACCCCCTGTACACTACACGACGCTCAGCGCAAAACTCGCCCCGATCTCGTGGATTCTCGCACGAGTGGAAAATCGCCTCAAAAAAGTGAAAAAGTCGCACAGTGTACGCCCGGCTTAAGTCTCCTTCCATTCCTGTCGGCTCCCTGGAAAAACAAAAAAATGAATGCAAGTCAACAGGGTAAAGAGCAATTTTCTAATTTGCTTTGCATTACGCCTTGGATCGCACCGACATCTTATGTGCAATCCATGGCACATCACTAACGGGATTAGAAAATAGTGTTTTTAGCTCCATTGACCCATGGTCTGGAAGTAGATGGGCGTGGCTTAGGCTCCCGATTTAGCTCCTGTGTCTGAAATTGTGAGAAATGTGAGACTAGTTTGGGAGGAGATGGCAACCAATAAAGCTAAATTGAGACGAACAAAAGAAAGTGATAGGAGCACAACACATTTAGATTAAAGATAAATTACAAAAGAGAATAAAGACATAAGCAGAATACTTTTAAAATGCGTTGCAACAAGAAAATGTTTGTTGTTTTGCTGAAAATGTTTTTAAATCTGAAATTACAGGTGATGAACGTTTTGTATTTCTGTGCCTAACTATAGTTAGCAGTCACAAACACAGTTAGATGCTGACTTTAAAGCAAACTAAAAGATGATTTCACCATAATTTTTTCACCCAGCTTTGCTGTGGAATGGACAAACAACGGTAGGAGAAAATGGACTTTGGATGTTACTGAGCTGAATGGCATTCAACAGGGTTTCCAGAGTGACTCGAAACATTCATCAGGGTTTTTGGTTTGCTTGCATAAGTTGGCTGTTGCTTAAATTTGAACAGGTTCAAAACATTTGCAAGACAAATTTCCTCTCGTAATAGCCGCGTTAAGTCATTGCAAGCTTCTGTACCTCACTAGAAACTGTTCTCAGTTACTGCACGTCAGAAGGTTCAAGAAATATAAGGGAACTAAGGGGCTGAGTTGTGACCAAATATAAATAATAAAGAAAAATTATGAATCTGATCAGGAAAAAAATTTGATTCTTTCTCTCTCTTCTTTCAAATCACTACTTAAAACCCACTTCTTCAAATTGGCCTTCCCCTAATACTAACCCAGCATGACCCCAGTTTTGTTCATTATTTTACATTTTTATGGCCATGTTTATTCATTTGGCAGACACTTTTATCCAAAGCGACTTACAATTTATAACCTATAGGGCGTGTTGTGATCTGTGGGGGAAACCGGAGTACCCGGAGGAAACCCACGCATGCATGGGGAGAACACGCAACTCCACGCAGAAAGGCTGCAGCTGAGTTTCGAACCTGTGACCTTCGTGCTGCGAGGCAACAGTGCTAACCACTGCGCCACCATGCAGCACATTTTGTTTCAATATTTGTTTATTGTCTTTTTATGAAGCGTATTTGAGTGGCCTAAAAAGTGCTATATAAGTTTGATGTATTATTATTATTATTATTAATAATAATAATAATAATAATAAACATTTGTTTTTCCAACTAGCCTAGTGAGAAAAGGGATGTAATGTTCTCAGGAAATGAGGTCCTGAGACAAATAGCACACACATTTAGTAAGGTATATACCTTACATACTATATATATTATTACTTAGATTAGCCATTTTTATATTTAGCTTGTTTTTACGTTATTGTATTTTGCACAACTGTTGCTGTGAAGCTCGCACACAAGAATTTCACTCGCATGTACTGTACCAGTGTACCTACACATGTGACGTGACAATAAAAGCGATTTGATTTGATTTGATTTGATGAGATACAACAGCAAACTTTAGGATATATTTTATTGTTCCCCAGTTCAAAGTGAAGGTTTGGAAGTGGAAGCTGCAGAACATACACCTAAAAGACTAACTCATTCGATTATGCTCTGTGTCTCCAAACTCTCATCACTCATGGATGTCAGACTCTGGGGATAAGCAGAGTTTGATAGCCAGCAGACCTGGCCTGCTTCTAAAACTACTCCACATGCTTTGACAAAGCTGCGCTGCACCCTTCCCGTGTTTCAGAAAATCCTGTTACAGAAGTGTGACGCATGCCTGATGTCTGAGAAAAAACCCTGATGCTATCGTAGTACAACCCTGCATCCTGGCACCTGAAACTGCTGCTTCTAGAAACACACGCAGAGTGCGCTGGAAGCTCACCAGTGACTCAGCTGGAACACACGGCATAAACGCCAGCCAGCTGCCGGCCTTTTTATTTGCACAGACAAACATTTAACAGGGTCAGGGCAGGACGTGGAGAAAATAGCTTAGAGGTTTCAAGCTCGTACTCAAAACAGTCAGCACATTGATATCATTGTTTACACTAAATAATGTTTTTACTCTCAACACAACAGATGTTGTGATTGTTATGTTTTAGTTTGAAACACCTCATTAGCCTGTGTAACCTACACAGAACAGAACCAAATCAGGGACGTGTTTCTTCTGGGTGGTTGGCCGAGATTAGATCTGGATTGTGCAAAATACTTGATGTATTTAATTAAGCGTGAAGCGTGTTGATGAGACTTTCTACATGCCTGTTTATGAGAGGTGTGTTTGGTGTTCCGGTTTAACTTGGCTTGCCCAGGACTCTGCTGGGATGCAAAGTAAGCCGGTTGCCATATCACGGCTCTAACCGGCTTTACTGGGATCAGAGGCTATTGCCCAAGCAGAGCCCACCAGCAGGCGGGACCAGTATCAGGGTATAATGTAGGTAGAGTGAGAAAACTCTCCTCCAAGAGTGTGTGAAGCAGCTGTAGACTTCTCGCTGTTACCCTTTTTACTGAGGACGGCATATCCAAGTGGCATCAACAGGCCCCCTAATTACAAACAACTCTCCCATCAGGCTAGGCAGCCTCCAGTGTCAAAGCCCATCGTGTTTTTCTTTGATGACTCTTCACATCGTCTTTGGCTTTGTGAACCCTGGGGAATTAGCTCACAGTCTTTAATTACACGCATGATTAGTGACAGAGGACCTTAACGGTTTGTAGATGGCTCTGATTGCTGGGATCGTTACAGTTGTTTGGTGTGTAGCATTGCTTTGCTATGACTGGAACATTCCTGTCAGTGATTAGTAAATGGGTTATGACCATTCAGTTAGGATGTCAGGAATGAGGTGCATCCCAGAAAACCACCTGACCAACCTGCCTTACCTGGGATTTTTATTTGAATGTATTTTAAAGTAGGTTTTTCACATTTGAAACCTTTACTCCTCTCTCAAAGTGGACTACAGGATCTTGACCTGTGTTGTGTCATGCTCTTGTGTAGTGGTTTAATTTTCTCCATGTGAAGGTCTGGGCGGTCCTCACTACAGTGGACTGCATAAACGACATCACTAAGCTTCTGATTCCCATATTCCGTCAGAACTGACAAAGCTCCTCGGATGAGAAGCGAAACATCTTCAAGAAAACAAATGTTACGTCCTGGCGATGCTAGGAAGGTAAGGAGGTAACAAACCCATGACCAGATGGAGTGGGAGGAGTACATGCATGTAATAAAGAAAAACAGCAGATAAATAAACGTACTATACACAGAATGGCACAGATAAATACTAATAGAGAAAAACCTTAACAAACAGAGCATTCACAAGATTAACTTAAAGCGCTCATAGCTGAGAATATACCAAACAAAAAACACCGGCTCAGAAGGACTTCAACCGAAAGAGGGCCATAACATTTACTACCCCTAAATCCAACCAGAGGAGCTTTAACTCTCTATACAAACCACCTATAGGTCTAACCAAGCTTCTAAGCAACAATACCACACCAGTAATCCTCCACAGTAGTCTAACAGCACAAAGTTCCAACAAAGCTGACCAAGTGGGGAAACAGCACACCATCAGCTGCTCCCCAACTGCAGGCAGACCAGGAAGTCTCTTATAAGCCACCCAGCAGCTGATTGCTGGATGATTCCCAACTGGTCCCAGGTGATGGTGGAGGAACCAGGAACAGAGCCAATTGAATCCCCTGGGCTGCAGGCTGAAGAATACGGAGAGCTGGGCTGTACACTCAGGCAAAACAAAACTAAGTACAGAGACATGAAACCAGGGATCGTAACACCAAAGAAGTCCAGTTGCCTTCATTCAAACTCTTTTGGATGTTTTGCTTACTTGTCCGACCAATAAAAGGGTGTAGTTTCTGTGCCAGCCTGTTCTGGTCTCGGGTCTTCTTATCACGGCAGAACACTATCTGTGCCACATTAGAGTTAGAAGCAATTCAGAGAGTCCAGCTGACTTGTCCTTTGTCCTCTTTTATCTTTAGGTTTTTGAGATAGCTGTCAGAAAGGAGAAAGCAGTGCTCCTGAGGATGCAGTAGAGCTTCATTTACAGTTTTACCTCAGAACTTTTTTATAGCGAAGAGGAGCCGTCACCTCCTGACTCACCGAGAGCCTGTCCAGCAGGCTGTCCCAGTTCTCTGATTCATCTGAACGCCTCGGATGCCAAGCAGGAATATTTGTAACGATTACACTGTCTGTAAACAACGTATTGGTGATAGACCGACTCATGAGTGTATCTTCTACCACTTATTACAGATTGAAACATAACACAAAAATATAAACATTTAAAGTTATACTTTGGATTAATTACTAGGGGGTTTCCATATGTTTAATGTGCCATGGCTAAGTCTCTCTCTCTCTCTCTCTCTCTCTCTCTCTCTCTCTCTCTCTCTCTCTCTCTCTCTCTCTCTCTCTCTCTCTCTCTCTCTCTCTCTCTCTCTCTCTCTCTGTCTGTCTGTCTGTCTGTCTTTTAAAGAGATGTCCAACTGGTTTTTCTGCCTTTTGAAAACCCGTCTTCTATTGGCTGACAGGAAAGGCACAGGGAGAGCTGAGACTAGCTGTGCTGTCTCAGTTTTGAAGGAACTGGTTCTTCTTTGTCCTTTTTTAAACAGGTTCATGTCCAACACAACGCCATAAATGGTAAATGTTGTGGAAAAGTAACCAAATCGTTGCTGGTTTGAAAACCAAAACAAACTAGTAAACCATTCTAAAAGGGATACAAATATCTTAGTCATTTTCTAGTTGCCGTTTATTTTTATTTCTTTATTCACTGTAAATCTCGTTATTAAATAAAGACAAATATTTGGCTTTTACTAAACAAAGTTTATTTATAGCAACATTACTGACATATTTGCTTTCCAGTTCATTTTTATGCGTAATAAATCCGCTATAAATGATTTTCTCAGGAAAGGGATTTCCAGTTATTCATAAGACAAAAGAATGATGCAGCAGGAATAATCATAAAAGATTATTCGCTGACACATCCCACCAGCAGGTGATTTATTAGTTTTTGTTGGTGTTTTACTGTATGAGTGTTAAAAATACTCTACAGTTCATTGAGATGTCAAACAGCTGTGGATTACTTTACGGTCCTTAATAGACTCGCTATCTCACCCCGGTTCAGTCCGTCTGCGGGCCGGTGCAGCGCACAGGTGACGTCACGCGCCAACTGTGTGGGCGGAGCTTCGCTCAGACTTTCAGGTGAAGTCCTGAAACTTCACAACAAGCCGGGCGGGTGGAAGTCGAAGTGTGAGAAGCGTCCGAACCGGCGCGACAGGGAGCTTTTAGCGGATAAAGCTTCCTGGAAAGAGTCGGGACCGATGAACACACACGGTTCTTCTTCACCGGGAGGAAAATGCACTGGGAACAGTTTCTCCGCTTAACCAACGGAAAGGTGAGCCGCGGCTTTAGCTCCGGTTTCGGTCAAACAGAACTTATTAGGGTGCTGCTCGCGTTAAAACGTTGTTTTCCTTCCCTGGTGAAGGTGTTGACTGTCCCTGTTAGGGCAGGGCAGGTGAGCCTCTGATTCATGCTGTTACCTGATGAAGCAAGCAACACTGAGTTTTGGTTTGCATCGCTGAAGTTGAATGTTTCTTTTGACTGAGGTGTTTATGTAAATGACTCACCTCCTCTGCTTGTGGCAGAATGTTTGTTATTGTCTCTGAAAAGAAAAGGAGAAACTAATGTTGCTGTGATTCATGTGCAAGTATCAGTAAGTACTTCTGCAAGTACACTCTGACCAAAGAGGTCATTTTATATCATCTAGTGTCTGAAAACCGAAACACACTTCAGTCTCCATCAGCTGTAAAGTAGACGTTAAGATGCCGTTTTAAAGACGTTAATAATTCACACGAATGACTTTCCTGCTTCCTTTTCTTTATAAATGAAAAGTTAATAACTTACAACTTTTCTAACTAACTGACCATTAGTGGCTTTTCAGCTGATTTACTTTTGCCCTCTTTCCTGGCAACAGACCACAAAAAAAAAAAAAAAAAAAAAAAAAAAAGCAGAAGCCATTTTTTACCATGTCAGCAAAAAGAACAAGAACTCCCCATATGCAGCTCGGGTCCCCCCTGTTGTCCCCCCTTTTTTATGTTCCTGTTAAATTCCTTATGTCCTTCCCGCTGTCATGTACCCTCTCTGATCTCCCTGGCTGTTTTTCCCCCCTCTCTGCTTCAGATTGACCGACTGGAAGTGAGTGGGCTGGGCCAAACACCCCTCGCTGTTTCCTGTGGGACAGACGGTTCATTCCCGGCGGGTGAGGACGGCGCCCCGGATCCTCAGCGCACCAAGCAAGCCATCGCCCAGCTGCAACAGAAAATCCTCAAGCTCACGGAGCAGATTAAGATCGAGCAGACGGCCAGGGACGATAATGTCGCAGAATACCTCAAACTGGCCAACAATGCTGACAAACAGCAAAGCGCACGAATCAAACAGGTGAATGTAAAATCTTCTGTGTCCTGGTGCAGCTGTGGCATGTTTATGGTATGCCGTCACGATCACTAGATCACATCAGAACCTGTTGGATCACTTTGCACCTTGTGGCTAGGAGAGGTTTTTGGTAACTATTGTGAAGTATAATTAAAAATATCACTATAAAAAAAAACTTTTTTTTTGTCTGCCAAGGTGTTTGAGAAGAAAAATCAAAAGTCTGCACAGACCATCCAGCAGCTGCAAAGGAAACTGGAGCACTACCACCGGAAGCTACGGGAAGTGGAGCACAACGGTATCCCACGCCAACCCAAGGATGTCCTGCGGGACATGCAGCAGGGCCTGAAGGACGTCGGGGCTAAAGTCAGTGGCTTCAGTGAAGGAGTGGTGGACAGCGTTAAGGGGGGCCTCTCCAGCTTCTCACAGGCCACTCACTCTGCCGCCGAAGCCGTCGTCTCCACGCTTATTCGCAACAAATATGGCAGCGCTGAGAACATCCCCTCTCTCAAAGACTCGCTGGATGACCCCTCAGTGGAGGAGGGTGTGACGGTGGGCGGTGGACGTTCTCTGGGCATCACTAGCCACCACTTCCAATCTAGCCCCAAATACGGTAGCGAAGATGACTGTTCTAGTGCCACGTCTGGTTCAGTTGGGGCCAACAGCACCACGGGGGCACCTGGGGGCCCCCCCAGTTCCAAGGGTAACACACTGGAGAGGAGCCAGGGCTCTAGCCTGGACGTGCTGCTACAGGAAATGCAAGAACTGAGGGAGGGCCAGGCGAGGTTAGAGGAGAGCCTGGAGAGTCTGAAGAGCCACTATCAGAAAGACTACACAGTGGTTATGCAAGCGCTGCAAGAGGAACGCTTCAGGTACAGGCTGCAGCATACCTGAGACATTTTCACACAAGTGCTAGTGAGGAAATCCCCCGTTTTTTCAGTGTGTTGGAGAGGAGCTGCCACTTTTAGAAACACGATCACGCTGATAATTCCTGTCACCTGGCGACGTCACCTGGCAGCTCTAGATGCCGATGGCGTGGTTTTATCAGAGCTGACAAACGGTAGATAAAAGCAGAACCCTTGACCTGCTGTCACCACGCATACTGTACTTCCGACATAAAGGTCACCGTTGGCTCTTGGGTCTTTCACATGTCTTTAGCTGCTGTTTTTCCTCACTTGTAGATCACAGAGGACGTAAGATGTTGAAACAGTAATTCATGTTTAAGTGAGCATAAGTACAAAGGTGACGGACACCTGGACAGTTCAATAGTCCTCTTAGTGCCTAAACCCTGCTTTCAGCTCTGGTCCCTGCCCCACATTAATATCCAGGCTTTAAACTCAGTCACATCCCTCCAGAATGTTCAGACACCAGAGCACGACGATAAGGACGTATTTTGGACATTTTTCTTCCTAAAATGTCCAAAGCAGTCTTTGTTGATTCCTCTGGGGCCAAAAACTTTTTCCAACCAGGAAGTATGGCCACCAAGCTCCTTTCAGCTTGCCCACTGGGGTATATTTATTCATAAATAAGTCATGTTGCGAAGTAGGGTCTCTGCAACTATATCCATCCTTTTTTGACAGAAACAAAAAGATCAGAGATGAACTTTCCTGAGTTCACTGATTTAACGTTTCAGCAGCGGTATAACTGAGATGTGAGCAGGAATAAGGAAGGAAAAGGCAGAAACGAAACTCCCCAAAGGAAAAGTTTCCTAAAAGAGAACCTCAACTGGAATGAACCCTTTAAAGGGATGACGTCACTTTGGTCCATGGTCACACTTTTCATGAAACCTCGGTTAAAGGTTACGACTGTAAATAATGATTTGTTTTATTAGCCGTGTTTATTGAGAGTTGTCTCTCAATGAATGGGTAAATATTTTAGTTTTGAGGTTTTTGAGGAAGTTGATGTGGTGTTGTTGTAACGTGTCTTGTTGTTTGAATCCACCTTTAAAACAAACACGTAAAGGTGCTGTCTCGTGTCCACTCTTGTCTGCTGTTGTCCAACCAAATGTCAATGGCTGCTGCAACAAGCACCAGGATAAATCCCCCTCCTAGTGCTGGGCTCTCTTCATTGGCCAGTGTCACACTGCTAACTGGCTTTGTGATTGGTCAGTCAGATGAGCAGATGAGTGAGCACATCCTAATCTTATCAGGGCGAGTCATCAGCCCAGACAGGTGCCATGTTGTCAGATACCTCCAAGGCCTGTTTCTGCTAAAGCCCCCATGTGCTTCTGGAGCTTTAGCTCATTACGCCTCAGACCCACACAAGTGTCGTCTCCTTATTTGTGTTCAGGTGTGAGCGTCTGGAGGAGCAGCTGAACGACCTGACAGAACTTCACCAGAACGAGATCCTGAACCTCAAACAGGAGCTGGCCAGCATGGAGGAGAAGATCGCCTACCAGTCGTATGAGAGAGCCAGAGACATCCAGGTTTGCCTGCTAGCCTTGTGTCCACACACACACACACACGTGTGCAGGAATAACACTAGTTATTTTAGTGCATGACAGCAAAGTAGAGATTGATAATTAGACTAAAGTTTTGATAAGTTTCACTTTTGATGTTCAGTAAAGCAAAATGGTCCCTAGGCTCTGATTAAAGCCTGTCCTTTTAGGTAAATGTGATTTTGGTTTAGTTTTATTTCTGACCTCTTATCTCATCTACTGTGTCCATCAGGGTTGCAAATGCCATTAAATAAAGGAATCTGAGGAGGATTTTCAGTCATTACTTTGTCCTCTAACAGAATTTGAGGACGTCATCCCGTTTTGTTTAATTCGATCCTGCGTTTGAGTAAAGAACATGTCTGTGTGCGCAGCTTCCTGTGATAAACAGCTGGACGCTCAAAGCTGCTCAGCATGGCTTTACCAGAGTCGCGTTTAAGACTGTAGATGTTGACTGTGTAAATAGGAAAATCTGTCCAAGGAATGTCCCATCAGCATTCCTGTTTGTCAAAAACAAAACCGGTTTGTCGAGAACGAGCATCCCTTCCTGTTGTGTGTGTGAGGGTTTGTGGTTTTGTGTGTGCCTCCTCAGAACAATGCTGCAGTTCCTTCTGCTGACAGCAGGGGGTGACAGAATACTAGAGAGTGCACTTAGGGTCACCTTTCCAAAACTTAAACCACAAAATGAACAATTTCTAAACCATTCAAATGTTGAGTGCTATTTTTTGTGAGAGGTGTTTCTAATGAAACATCAAAGGGAAGGTTGCATACTTATTTCTGTTATGTGTGAAGATGGTTACAAAGCTGACTTGTTTTTGCTCCGGGTGTCCACAGGAAGCATTAGAAGCGTGTCAGACCAGGATCTCCAAGATGGAGCTCCAGCAGCAGCAACAGCAGGTCGTCCAGTTGGAGGGGCTGGAAAATGCCACGGCGCGAACCCTCCTGGGAAAACTTATCAATGTGCTGCTGGCTCTCATGGCTGTCCTTCTGGTCTTTGTCTCAACTGTGGCCAACTGCGTGGTCCCCCTGATGAAGACTCGCTCCCGCTCTCTCTCCACCCTCCTCCTCATCCTCCTGCTGGCCTTCCTGTGGAGAAACTGGGATGCTCTCTCGGGGTACACGCACCGAGCTCTGCAGCCCCCGGGGTGACCGGATTGACGCCAGCACGTGTTGCTTTGGTGTCGCCGGGTGATAACGCTGTTGTAGCCACGCATGGAGAGGGTTGAGGACCACAGCTGCATTAGGATGACTGTGTGGCCATGCACGCCGAGCACATTCCGGATGAAGCCCGGAATAAAGAGGCAAAAAAATGGAGCAAAGTTTAAAAAAAAAAAAACTCATTTGGGGAAGGAAAAGACTGTTTACATTTTGGAAAATGATGTGTTATTCCGCACCGGATGCAGCATTTTACTGTTTTTATCCATAGAGTTTAATCAATTGTAATGTTGTTTCTAATATTATATTTTCAATGTTATTTTATTCAGTACCATGTAGCATTATGCTCCTCTGTGGAGGGGAGGTTAGTCAGGAAACTGGGCCGGTGACTCACCCCAAAGGTCCGGTCTAATTTTAGAGACCTGCAAATGTGAGAATGGGGTTGATTGCTTTTCAGAAGAGAACTTTTATCTTTTTTTATGACTGCTAGATTGAACCTTTGCTTAAAATCTGCATGGGAGGTGCTTCTTTTCTTGCTGTGATGAATTTGAAGGACTGATGGTTACGTTTGTCTCGATGACTAGGGATGTTCTTCTTTAGCATTTGTAACAGCAGATCAGCTGCTTTTAATGATCTCATGTTCAAAAGTAAAAAAAAAACTAAAATAATAAACACCAGTGACATGCTGCTCACCACAAAAACAACTGCACATGAAGACTGAACATCTGGTCATCGTCAAGGATCTGCCATATTTGAAACGTTTACAATGCTGCATGTTGTGGTTAAGAAAATTACACCCAAACCAGTTTTGCTTTTAAAAGCAGCGACAAAGCGCCGTTGTCCATGTAAAATCAATTTGCCTGGATAATTGCCTCCCGACCGCCATATTTGATGTGATCCGTTTAGACCACTGGTGCTCGTCCAGCTCTGCCTCGGCGGGATCACGCTGCTGCTTCATATCTACAGTACGAATCGTCTCCACTGCCATGCAAATACACACTGCCTGTAACGTGATAGTGCACTAACACATTGTCTCTTCATGTTAGAGCTCCCTTCGTTGCCCCCCCCCCCCCCCCCACCCACCCACCCACACACACATACACATACACAAGCACTTATCTGAAGGTGTCATCACCCAGTGCCAAACTTGAGGTAAAACAGGGATTTGGGAGCAAACGGAGAGGGCCGACTCCTTTTCCACATTCTTCATGAATGAATGTTTTTTAGGCCGTGAAGGATGCGTGTTGTTGGGAGATGTAGCTTCTGCAATAGAAGAAAGCTGTTTGCCGTCTGAATGTGGCTTCAGTCCAGATGTTCAGTTGTTCTGCACTTTGCCCTGTTGGGTCTCTGACTTGGCAGCAAACAGCCTTTCTCATACATTAGTTTTTTCTAGTTTCCATCCAGTCGAAGGCATTCTGGGATGTCCTAGCGCGCTGATTATGCAGCCCGTGTCTCATGCCCAGGCGCTGATTGATGGCTTGATTATTTAAACTGTACAGCTGCACTTTAGCTCAGCGCGTGGTTGCACAGGTCAGACTGAGGCTGACCTCCGTGAGAGGCTGTAGACGTTGACACTTCATCAGGAGGAGGTGACTCAGGTCAAGATCGCCAACATCTCTGTCCAAAACAAATGAAGAGGACATTAAAATGGGAGTAGAGGCAGCTCCCCACAAAAAGCCCAAAACTGGATTTAATTATTGATCTGTTTCTGACCTTTAACCTTGCATGCCCTTTCAGTAACACCTGTAATGTAGGGTTGTGTGCTAAACCACTTCAGTGCCTTCTGATGTCCTTTTCTAAGTGTGGAATAAATAAAGTTCATTCCCAACTAAGTTGTGTTTCATCATCTTTAAACATTTTTTAGTTTATGATGCAAATCAGTCTTCGATGACCCCCTAATTCAGTCTAATCCTAGTCCTTGAGACACCTCTGCACATTTTAGATGTTTCCCTGCTGAAACACACCTGGTGGCGGTTGGACTACCTGCTCGGTGTGCTCTCAAGTTTTCAGGAGGCTTTTTATCACTAAGCCTTTTGAGTTTGGGTTACTGAAGCCAAAAACTTCTCAAACATTTCCTGAGCGGTACCTCACCCTATGTGACAGGTGCTCCTAATCCATCATAATGAAACAAACTGGGTACACCCCAATCCAGTGTGAATAATCTGAGGTCTCGTCCACATAACAGTGGTCGTGGTGTCATCCATGGCATGACCAGTCCCCACGTTCACCAGTCTTCTTCGTCTTTTACATTTTTTATGTGCTTTCCTTTTCCCCGTTTGAGAACATGTTTTGTGTGTGTGTGTGTGTGTGTGGATGAGGCCTAATGTGTGGTTCATGTGTTCATGGCTGAGATCAGCATCACATTCATTAGACTTTTTTCTACCATTCAATTTTGAATTTGAGATCTCCTAAATGAAATTTCCTCTCAGTTATTTATTTATTTATTTTTTTACTTTTTGGTGCTCACTGGTTCTGCAGAAGCATGCCTGGTGTTGCTCTAGTGGATGTAGTCTCCAACTAACTGGTTAACCTGTTCGTTTGATCATAAGTTCTCAAAATACTTTTTCTTTTTTCGAGAAAACACTTAGAGCTGAAACCTTTTTGGCCACCTCTGCGCTTACGCTTTGCATCAGTTTATAATAGTTAATGGACATATTATCAGATAATAAATGTATTTTTGAGTACCACCAGTGGTACTTTAAATGAAGATTTAGACCTTTGGATCTAAAACAAGACTCTGTTCCTTTATCCAGCAACTTTTCCCTGCTCTAACGCACCTGCTTCTGTGGTGTAATTACCTGTGTGTCCTCCTCACGTTCTGCAGTAGCCTGATAATCACAAACTGATTCAACCCACGTGTTGTGGAGAAAAGAAACCTCTAATGCTTGCAGGGTGGTGGTGGTCTTGCTCTTGGAGCGGGTTTGAGCTGCAGACACTCACCGAAGCCACTAGATGGAGCTCTTTTGCCTGGTGAGTCTGTCGCGTGTGAGAAGCTGTGGTTAGTTTCTGGGTCCAACCGAAGGGTCCAACACAAATAGGTGTCACTCCTTATCAGACAGGAAACAGGCTGGTGGAAGGATGTTAATGCTGAAAGTTAAAACACGCGCGTCTCTCTCCGTGGATGTGTCATGGCACACATCTGACCCACTATTGCTCCATTTTCAATCCTCATCATTATAAGATTTGCCTACAGTTAGCTCACTCTTCTTTTTTAGGGAGGGGGTTATTATGTGGCACTTGATCACTTTGCCTCGTCTTCCTTGACGCGCGTGGCCATGCGCCAAGGTAAACGCGCACCGCACTTGCCCAGCTGAAAGCTGGAGGGAGAGAGAGCATGTCCCCATGAGAAGTCCACAGTAAATTGGCACGGGCGATTCACGCGATTTAGCATCAACTTTAATTATTGCATGTATTCAGAGATAACACTTCTGTGGTTCGCCTGCAAGCTGATTTATTCAGCGTCTGACACACACCACAACCAACATTCATTCAGAGAGATGTGGGAGCATATGCACACCCTAATCCACCCAGAGTCAAAAATGCAACCCATACGATTGCTTATCATTCAGATCCTTTTGCCGTCCTTCTGTGGATCTCTGAGGTCATCAAATCAAATCACGTTTATTTAGCCTATAGCGAAGTGCTGAACATAAAAAACATTAAAAATTAAAAGCAGTCAAGTGAAAGCACAATAAAACATAAAAAACAATCAATAAAAACCTGGCATAAGAAAAAACAGGACTACCAAGTCATCAAGGAATAGTAAAAGCTCTCGAGTGAAATAGAAGTTTTCACTAACTTAAAAAAATGGCAACAGATGACGCCTGCCTGATGGAGATAGCCAACGCATTCCACAGAGTCGGTGCTGCCTGCCACAAAGATCTAAACCCTCTTTTCTGTAGCCTTGTCCTAGGTACACTCAGCCTGCTGGTCAGCCGAACGCAATCCACGAGATGGAACGGTGCGCTGATGCATCCATCTGGTTGCACTTTCATGCTTCTTACCTCTTGCCATGCCGCATGTGCCCCAAAACGGAACCGTCCGCATCTGCAGAACTAATCTGAAGGCCGGGGGACTGAAGAGCAGAAGGTGGGACGGTGACCCCACATTAACCCCAGGATGAGCGGAACCACAGCATTTGAGACGCACAAGTGTGTCATCTTGGTGGACGCGTCAGGGTGCCATCAGATGTTCCTTCATGCAACCAGATTTTGATGTTGTTTTATTTGAGTTGGTATTTTGGGAATAATAGAAATTATTAAACATATGAAGTAATGATCAATCACAGCAGGCTGCGCTTTCATGGGACGCGTGTCATAACGGGGAGGCTGTGCCATTCGTCATGGCTAATGAGATGCACCCCTGTGCTCTCGTGAAAATGGGCTTTTCTTCATACTAGTCTTACTTTGTTAATCAATATTTGACTGAAACGTGACTGGGAATACGTTTTATTTATCCCCGTGCCTTCATAAAATAATTGCGTAAAAATAGTAACATGGCTGACTAGATTGCGCATATTGTTAAAAAGATCATTCACATTTTATTTTGATGTCTCGGTGAGTCTCGGGAGAGGGGCTGCTGAGCTGCACAGCGGGCAGAGAGGGACAGAGGCAGAGAAGGCAGCCTGCAAAAGGAAGCACGACTCGCTTATCGCGTCATTCTGGGTTTAGGCGTTGAGCAGGAAGCAGCCTTTCCTCTTGGATTGTCGCCGTATAGGAACAAACACACATTTTTGTCTTTGCTCAATGCACCCCTCGGCACAGAACACGCGGAAGCCAGTCAGAAGGAAAAATGCCTCCTTCGATGGAGATAGCTGTTCTGCTTCTCGGCGTCTTGGCTTTGGAGACGCGCAGGAGTGCCAGCGCGCTGCACATCCAACAGGCGTTCACGTCTCCAAACCACACCAATAACTTCGTAGTGGACCCGGTGTCCAGGAAGGTCTACCTGGCTACAGTGAACACGGTCTACCAGCTCAACGGGACCCTGAGTTTGGAGGTGGAACAGAGGACAGGACCGGTGGAGGACAACCTGTTGTGCCATGCGCCACAGCTGCCTCAGGCTCCGTGCGAGCATCCCAAATCCCTCACCGACAACTACAATAAGCTGCTGGAGCTGGACCGGGAGCAGGGGGTGGTGGTGGTGTGTGGATCCGTGTATCAGGGCTTCTGCGAGCTGAGGAAAATGGGGAATGTTTCCGAGATAGCGGTGGAGTTCCCACCCCAAGGAGAAAAGACAGTTTTCCCCAGCATGCTCAACATCGCTGCCAACCACCCGAACGCGTCCACGGTCGGGCTCATCTTCAGGAGCCACGGTGGGAACACCCGGCTCCTGGTTGGGGCCACCTACACCGGAGCTGGGACCCAATTCTTCCCCAAAAACCACAGCAAGGAAGACTTACGTTTTGAGAACACGCCTGAGATCGCCATCCGCTCCTTAAACATCAAGGATTTATCCAGACTTTTCACCTATGACATCAACCCGTCAGAGGATAACGTGTTCAAGATCAAACAAGAGGTCAAACCCAAAAACAAGCTGAACTTCGTCCACGCATTCATCCAGAAGACTTATTCATACATTGCCTTTAATAATGATGCAAAAATGGGTCACAAGGAGAGCCAGCCCAACAGCATGCTCTCCAGGATCTGTCTGGATACCGAGAGCCGCCGAAAGTCCAGCGGGCCGGACAGCAGGAAGCTCACCGAGTCCTACATCCAGATGCCTTTACAGTGCGGCTCCAACGGGGACATTTACAACCGGCTGCTGTCCGTGTACCCGGCCGAGATCCAGGCGGGGCCCGGGAGGGGCCCGGAGTCATACCTGTTCGGAGTGTTCTCCAAAGCGGACAGAGAGTCTGCTTTGTGCGCGTTCAGGTTCAGAGACATAGAAGAGGAGATCCGACAGGCGCGCAGGAATTGCTCCAACTCCCCCAGCAGCGACGTCCAGGTCCTGGACAGTGTGATCCAGGGCTCCGGGGCCGCCTGCATCCAGAAGGGGAACCTGGTGGTGAGGACCTAAAAACATCTCATTTCTTCTAAACACAGAAAAAAACAAGTCCTAAATCGCCACAAGCCAAAGAAGCAATTCCAATAAAAATATAATTAATTTTGTCGTTTTCCATATTATTTATTTCTCAGTAATGCAACATTTTTACATTATGTTCTGACTTTGATAAAACTTTAATCATGGCTGCTGGTGGTGTTTATTTATCCCAAAAATGTCCAGTCTCATGACTCAGAGCTGATTATTTCTCTTCAAAGGAGTAAAAGTCATTAAAAATCCACTTGGAAGGCTGTGGGAAAGTCCAGACTCTTCTCATGTCTTCATCATCATCATCATCATCATCATCATCATCGTGTCTGATCATAACTGGACAAAGACTTATTAGTTTACTCTATCCTTCTGTTATTGGGTTTGTGTTGCTAAGTATAACCCAACCACAGATTTGCTACATTTGGACAAATGGCTGCTTTGTTGCCATCACGTGGTCAGATATCTTCACATACCAGACTGGTTATGCCTTTTACTATTTTATATATTTGCCCTCTGCATGGTTGCTGTCTGATAATGAAAGCATGGAGACAGTAAAACTGCGGTTTTATTAATGTTGGTGCTACTAAACCCGTGAGGTCAAGAGACGGATCACGGCCTCTGCTGTGCCGCCAGGTCAGAGAGTATTCCCTCCTTGTTGTCTGTGGCTGCAGGGCAGCTCCTCCCATCACCAGATTCCTGAATAGGCCTATCATCCCAACTGGCATCCCATTATAGACGAGTTTTCAGTTCAAAAACACTTAGAGCTGGGTTGTTTTTTTGTTCCTGCTCGTGATGTTAAACAAAACTACCACTCACAAGAAAACTTCTGTCTCTTTGTTGCTGCATTTAGCAACAGTGAACACATGATTTAGTTGTTTTTTTACTTTACTTTTTATTATTTCTTTTGCAGTTGACAGTTTGAAGGCCGCCACCGAGGGAAAGTCAGACACAATTTATGATAAGAGCGATGAGTCTGTGAGCAGAAGGGCCCGTGGGAAACGGCTCCACAAATATCCACTATGCCTAATTCTTTCTCTTTCTTTTTTTTCCTTCCTTGTGCGTGCACGTGCTCTAAAATATTCCGAGAACTCCCAGTAGATCCTGGTGCTCATCCAAGCGTGGCACTAATGTTTTATCACTGCTCACCGAGGATTTGACAAAAGCAAAGTCTTATGAGTGTTGAAGACCATTGTAATCCCTTTTCAAGTATTCAGTGACAAGGCTAAAAGTCATTTAGAAGAATGAGCAGCAGCGGCGTGATGGCTCCAATCACACACTTCTTGTTTTCAGGACACATTAATCACACGCTGCTCTTGTTGTGCTTTAACCTGTCCTGTCTTTAATCCGACTGAAGACTGAGCTCTCTTTGATTTTGCCTTCCAGTTGCAGCCCGAGCAGCTGGACTGTGGCGCGGCCCACCTGCAGCATCCTTTGGCTCTACAGAGGCCCCTGAGGGCCAGTCCTCTCTATGAAAACCAGGGCCTGACTTCAGTTTCAGTTGACAGCGTCCACAACCACACTGTGGTTTTTCTGGGAACCAGTAATGGACGGCTTTGCAAGGTGAGACCTGCAGCGATACCGTAAACGTACACAACTCTTTGTGATTGAGAGCCAAACTGTCCTCGGGTCATAACATTGTTGGTGTGTAATAAGGTCTCCTCTGTATGGAGTTAATCTTTTTAATGTGATTGAGCCCTGGAGGCTGCAAAGCTGGAACAATCAGAGTTACACACGGCTTCTGTGTCTGCTGAGAGTAAACCAACGCTAGGTGTGTGATGAAACACTTACAGCCGCTTCAGGACAAGCAGGAATGTCTGCTTTCATCTTGTAGCTTCTGTCGTCGCTCGGCCCTTTCTTCTCCTCTTTGGTTCATTCGTCCGTGGGTCATCCCTAAGTAGCCCTCATCATGTGCTCTAATGCTCCTCAGACCTGCTTTTTGTCTCAGGGATCAACAGAGAGCTCTTTAACGAGACTTGTAGAAGACACATGACTCAGCACTCCCATGTGTCGGTCCATGAGCGACCTCTGCTTTTAAAAACATCTGCAGATGGTCCGCCTTGTGAAAACTTTTCCTGTGCAATTAACAGCATTCCTTAATTCTTGTCTCAGCCACATTCCTGGTCACCCCTGACCGAGCTCCCTGCAACAAGCTGCTCTACAGCCGTGTGTGTGTGTTTTAGCATCAGCCTGGTACCTTTTTACAACATGAAAACTTCGCTGCTGCAGGGATTTTTAGCCTCTAAAAGAGCTCATTGTTGTGCTCCCTGAGATGAAGGCTCTGCTCTGGCCCCAGCTGAGCGTGCTGTAATTGTTTTTGGGATGGTTTGCTGTGCAGCAGATGCACCACATTGGTTAGGATGGCGTAAGCAGCAGCGGGGTTGACAGTGTTTATGTGTCTGTCGGCTTGATTGTAGGTTTGCCTGTGTTCTGAGGTGTTTGACTTTGTCTGCAGGCCAATGCTTGTGGCTTAGTGATTCCATGTGTTTACTCAAATGAATTTATACACTGAGATTATATGCTGTGTTTGTGTGTGTGTGTGTGTGTGTGTGTGTGTGTGTGTGTGTGTGTGTGTGTGTGTGTGTGTGTGTGTGTGTGTGTGTGTGTGAGTGACCTTGGGTAACAACTTGTTTTGTGCTTTTGGCTGCATGCAGCCCTCATTGTTTGTCTGTGTATCTGTGTGTGGGGTGGTGATTGGGAGTGTGTGTGTGTGTGTGTGTGTGTGTGCCTGGAGGATAGAGCTGTTACAGAGGTTAATGGTGCTGTTAGTGTGTGTAATGTGATTCTGACTGTGAGTTTGGCTCAGTGGAAACACAGGGGAGCAGTGGTTCAGATTAAGTTAGACCTCTTTTACTGTCTTTCAGAGAGCCCTCAGTGAAGTAATTTGTAATTACATGCATTTTTTTAATGAAGTCTCTCCCTACCCCATTACATTACAGCTGACTTCCATTTTCAGCGTCTGGCAGCGCCAGACTTTATCTCACGCACTCACATCCAAATTTCGCTCCCTCCATCTCTTGCTTCATCAGCCCGCTGTCCTCCCACTTAGCTCTGCTTTTATTTCACCTCAAAAGTAAAAAAAGAAGAAAAAAGCCTTTGATTCACTCTGCAAACAGACTTTATCTCTTTGTCTCCCTTCTTTCTGTGCAGCCACACCTTCACCCATCTTTATTCTTTGTATTTTGCATCAAGACAAACAGCAGCTGAGCACTCCGTGGTTGAATGGGGCCTTTCATCTGCATGAAGATAGACAGAGAATGAAGTCAGAGCAACCTGCTGGTACAGCAGGTGTTTTGTTGGCTGACCGCTTTGTGCCATAGATCACCTCACACTCCTCCTCCTCCCAGCTCCTTTTCTTCTCCCCCGTCCAGGTGTGTGGGCTGCTGTTGACTTGCTCCTCACGGTATCACCCTGCATGTGCTCTCCTGGTCGCTGGGGTTGGGGTTGAGGACACAACGCAGCTGCTCACTGTCTCCACTGAGTGTGTGTACATGTATTCTGGTGGAGGGCGTTATACAAAAGAAAAAACTAACGACTGCAATATTTGAAAACAGATTTGTTAAGCTTCTGCCTGCTCTGGTTTAACATTAACCAGCAGGTCTCAGTCTGGCTGATTGGTTTGTTCATGTGTGTTTTATTTGTTTAACAGTGTGTGTGTGTGTGTGTGTGTGTGTCCTATGGATGAAGAAATGATACAGCCCAGATGCCAGTCAGTGTGCCAGTTCTTCAGGATGACAGGATGTCCAAAACAGACCCAACAAATCGTAGAAATAAGAGCTTGGACTGTTTGCATGAGAGGAAGTCTCACTCAGCACTGTTTGTTTTTCCTACAGAGCTGTGTGTGTGTGTGTGTGTGTGTGTGTGTGTGTGTGTGTGTGTGTGTGTGTGTGTGTGTGTGTGTGTGTGTGTGTGTGTGTGTGTGTGTGTGTGTGTGCGCGCGCATGCGTTTGCTCATACGTGAGAACGTGTCACCATTTTATTATCCGAAGCTGTAGGAAGGCCACTGTGCAGATAAATCGCTGCTCAGCAAAAGTGAGATTAGGCTCAGTGTTTGAACAAACAACCTCCCAGAGTGTGTTGGAGAGTGTGTACCGCTAGAACATGTTTAGGAATGAAATATAGAACCAAAATCACTTTACTTAATCTTGTTGCTTGAGCCACAGAACTACAAAATCTGCTCTCCTTTTGAGCATAAAGATATTTTTGGCCGTATTAGATGTGAGTTTCCATTTAAAAGCAAAAATAAATAAATAAATAAATAAAAACTTTTATTTAAAAACCAAATGTAGTCTTTTATTCATCCATCCATTGTCTGAACCCGCTTTGTCCACGTAGGGTGTCCATCTCCAGTGGACAATGGGCAATCAGTCGAGGTACACCCTGGACAGACAGCCAGTTAGTCTTTCTTTTATTTATTTATTTATTTATTTATTTATTTATTTATTTATTTATTTATTTATTTATTTATTTATTATTTTTTGACTAATTGAGTTTAGGACACTGATGAGCTAATGGCTAGTCAGACTGTCAGGACCAGATTGGACTGCAGCTGTCTAAAAGCTCTGGTACCAGAATTTTCATACAGAAATGTTGGAGGTTAAAGTTATTCAAAGGTGGCAGATGAAACATTGGATTATCAGTCCTTTAGAATGCAACACAAACTATTACAAGCTTTCTGAAATGGGCAGGAGTTTCCTTATTTGTTTTATTTTTGGACAGAAACACTTCAGAATGGCTGAATAACAACACGTGGATCAGTTTGGTGCTATTATGTTCCCGTCATGAATCTACAATTTAAATTTTCCCTTCTAGCTCCATTATCGTTCTGTTACTGAAGTCTTATAGAAATGAGTTCCTATAGGTAGAAACGTCCTCTTTCCAAAATCCCTGAAGGTTTCATCTATAACATCAAATCCGTTTGTGCCGAAAAAGACGAGATTAATTAAAACTTTGATGTGATTCCTTTAATTTTGCCTATTTTTACAGTAATTTGTCTCTTTTGCTTACAGCTGACCCTCCTGCTGAACATGACCTTGGCCTATCAGAGGACACTAAAGCTGCCAGCCAGCGAAGCGGTCCACCACATCATGACCTTCGACCCCAACGACAGCAACTTTCTTTATGTCATGACCTCTCACCACGTAAGAACAAAGCTACACAGACAAGGCTTCTGTTGTTTGATGTGTGCAGCTCCTCTGCACAGATTTACTGAGTCAGACTCAGTAATCCACAGGAACCACAATCAGAACACATTTACTTGTATCCAGCAGATCTTCCACACCTTTGTTTAGCAAACACAGCAGCATCTGTGGTAAAGCGCAGAGGCTCTGTAGATTTCACACCGGCATTTCAAAACTGCTCTGCTCACAGCAGCATGCACCTGCTCCTCCAGCACCAGTGCATCTCAGTAGATGACCAAGATCTGATCCAGAAACACACTGATGAGCAGCCGAGTTTCGAACCTGCAACCTTCGTGTTGTGAGGCAACAGTGCTATCAACTGCGCCACCATGCAGGCACCGCCCTTTATCATCAGCTTTAATTTTAATTTATTCAGTAAGACCTCTGTGCCTCTTGGCGTGCGATGCATGCTGCAATTCCCTTCAGAGACTCAAAAAATGACAGAAATGCAACCCTGCGATCCACACGTGTGTTGTTGGTGCCATGGGAGTGAAGGATGCTTCCAGTTTGCCATGGCCTGGTTAAAAAAGAAAAATGAAGCACAAAGCCACTTACTGCCCACAGCACTTGCTTGCACTACTAACAGCAACATTATTTCTCAGACAACAGCAGCAACAATAAGTGATTTCTGCCTCTGGAATGTAAAAGCAGGTATATTGTTTCGTTCAAATCAGCAGTTTGTATATTTTAGATACACTGTGGGGAATACAGACAGATTTTTAATGCGCATGAACACTAAAAAACAGCCTGGCCTGCCAGACTCGTCCTCTGTTTAATTCTGCACAGAGAAAGAGTCTGGTAACACACACGCAGAGAGGCATATGAGGGGCGGGACTAGGCAGCCCAAAAATAACCAATCACAAAAAAGACGGAAATGCTGACTGTACCACGCAACGCTGTCGTTTTTTATCTGTAGTAAAAAAGGGAGTCTGGCAACGACGCAAACATCTTTTTTTTTTTAGAAGAAAGACTTTTAGTGCTTCTACTTGTTGTGGTTTTAAAGACATTCAAGTCATTTAGAACAGAGGAAAGAGCCGCAGCAAACTCCGCTTCAGTCGCCATGTTTATGACAAACTCGGAGTTGTGGTGTGTGACGTACGATACTCAGTGCTGATTGGCTCGGATAGAATTCTCAGGGGGTGGGGTTATTTGAATAGGAGAGTTCCCAGACCCTTTCTCTGAGCAGAATTAAACAGAGGAGGAGTCTGGCAGGCCAGGCTAAATAACCACTATTTTATGCTCACCAACTTCCTATTTGGACATCTGGGCTCCTCTAGCAGCTCTTCTATACTTTTATAGCAGCGCTGACCATGTGGCTGATCAATCCAGCAAAAACAGGTTCAGTTAGATTAGATGTGATTTAAATGATTGTCTGAATGTTACAGAGGTATTTACACTGGTAACACTTTACAATAAGGGTCCCTTTAATAATGTTATTATTAAGCATTAATTAACTATTAAATAAAGTATTAATTATTTAACCATATTATATAATGTATTACTAAATAGACACCCCCCTGACCCTTTGTCCTTACCTTAAGGACACTTAATAGTAGGACTGGGCGATATGGCCTAAAATCCATATCACGATATATTGAGGATTTCACCTTGATAAAGATAAATGGACGACAACTACAGGTATGCACAGAAACAAAAGTTGTCCACTAAATGGGGCTGTCACACATATTACCTTAAATTTTTACATGACTCAAGGTGGTACAGCTTTTTAAAGGGACATGAACGTTGCCAGCCTACACACGTTTTCATTTTTTATTATTTAATTTATTGACATGGGAATAATGATGTCGATAAGAGTCAGAAGTTGCATTGTTGGTTCAACAATGCAGTTAGAAAAGCAACACAGCAAGAACATACCAAAGATATTTAAAGAGTCAGAAATTCGATAACGATAAGTTTTTGATTCATCGCCCAACTCTACTTTACAATATCATGAACGTTAATAAAGGGAGCATTGGTTTATTAATGCTTAATAATTCACTAAGTTATGTTAATAAAGGGACCCTTATTGTAAAGTGTTACCATTTATTCCTCAAATTAAATGGGCCTTTGTATTTTATGATAGTCTATGCTGATTCTAGAGTGATGAATGACATTTCAGTCTTGTAACCTGAACTCTACCTCCTGACTGGTGTCTGCAGTCTCCTGAAAATGTGAGCTCTGTAAAGTTTTCCCAACTCGATAAGGAATCTGGTTTCAAAATTGTGATTTTGATGTTGGCCAAAATAATTAGTTATGCTTTTTTCTGACATTGAGCGGCATCAGCTCTGACACTGACCTGTGATAAATGCATTTATTGTTAATCCTAATTAGACATAAAATCAATGCAGTAATTAATGACTGCATATTATTACTGTTCCAGAGTTTTTACCAGTTGTGAACGGTTATATCAGAGCTGCTACCTACGTGAATCGCTGCAGAAAGGTTGACTGTTTTGCCAAAACAATAAAGACTGTTAAGCTCCAAAAAAGGACTTCAGAGAGAAGCAACAGATCTGCGAAGGAAAACGATGAGACGTGTGGGGTTTTAGTTCATCCACCTGTTTCATAATTGATGATTTTCTCATGTCTCATGAAAGAAAAGTCCTGTTTTCATCTTTGTGACACTGTGGTTTTGTTATTGGTGATGGGCAGATGCTGAGGGTCAAAGTGGCTGAATGTGACCAGTGGAAGAGTTGCAGCAGCTGTTTGGGAGCGGGCGACGCCCACTGTGGGTGGTGCACTTTAGAGAACAGGTGAGATCCCCCACCTCCTCCCCGGTTTCTGCCTGTGTGTCTATACATGTTCTGACTTGTATCCTTTTCTTCCTTCATCTAATCAAATGAGCATCTGCTTTGTTGCCACACTCAAGCCACATGTGTTCTGATGTAATCAGAAAGCAGGACCCAGATTGTGGAAGTGTTCACTTCCTCTGCTGTCTGTTTCAGAGTCGAGCTGCTTATATCAGCGAATGACTCGGCTTAATAGGAATTTCAGATCTGTAGAAGATAAGATCGATCGTACAGTAAAATCATGTCTGCTTGTCGCTGTGATGCTTTAAGCGTTTGACTCAGTAAAACCACAGATTTTTGCTTTGTCGCTCTCAGGTTAAAACGCCACCCTGCTGACTAAGTGCTGGCAGTAGCGGAGTGTGTTTTGGGCCGGAGAGGCTGTTGCTGGATCGGTATTGATTTGCTTTTCATTGGGCTTCAGACGTGGGAGGAACATCACTGTTTGGAGCGGCACCCTGGCTCTGTGGCTGTGAGGGGTGGGAGTGACAGGCTGGGAGCGCCCAGCGAGCAGTGACTTGGCTGGAGGGGAGCTGTGAGCGGGTGAACGTACACTGTGATTAATGTGGCTCTGCCAGGACTGGCTCTCTGCTGTTTGCTCGCTTTCGGGGAGAATATGTGCACCGTTGAGTTGTGTGTGTGTGTGTGTGTGTCTGTGTGTGTGTGTGAGTGTGTGTGTGTGTGATTTGCTTGGTTGCTTGGTGATTAAAGCAGATCAGACATGATAGTGAGTTTTGTGATGAACTGAGCTGCAGCTCTGGAGGCTTCTGGTATTGCCAGAGGCCATTCAGTGCAGGGAGAGTGGAAATGATGAGTGTATGTGGTCACACTATCTGACTGTCATCTCCTTGTCTCCTCTCCTTATTTATCTATCTGTTGTCTCTATCCCAGTCCCTTTCGCGCTTCGATGCGCTCTGTGATTCTCCCTGTCTTCCATTTCTTGCCCTTGGATTCTCCAGTAGCTCAGAGAATTTCGGCTCCTATCTCTCGTCTTATCCTCCCCCAGTGCCCTCTTCCCCATCGCTATCCCTCCACAAAGGAGTGTTGATTGTGATGATGACGGTGGTGGGAGGAGGGAGAGAGAGAGCACACTGGCTCTTTTTACCAGAAAATGTCAAAGTGTGTAAGGCTGCATGTGAGTGTTGGTGTGAGTGTGTGTTGTTCTCTGGCTCTTGGAGGCCAGGGAGCTGATGTCATGAATGTTTTGGTGTGTTTGATGAGCTGTTGTGCCCGGCCAGCCAGCCTGCCGGCCGCTGGGTTGGCCGCCTGTACTCAGGGCCTGGGGGGGGGGGGGGGGGGGGGGGGTAGTGTGGGGGTGGATGCTCTCTTCCATCACTTCACTGTCTGATTTAACTACAGACACTGGAGAAAAGAGCCAGTAGATCTCACAATCTGTGAAGCCACCACAGTCTCTGTGGGGGCCTTTTTGATTTTATGCACAGCTCTGACGTCTCCCAGCATGTCTACATGTAGCGAGGGAGCAAGAAGACATGTCTGCTCACTTGTTGGAGACTGCATTGTTGTCAGAAAGTGAGAGCTACCTCCACTTCCCGAGATAAAGCATGGTCCTTGATCACTCCTTTTGATGCCGGCGCTGGTTTAATCTGCCACATGTCACAAGAAAGCACTTAAATATCGCTATCTGAATCAAATTATGCATGACATGTCATCGTAGCCATTCACAAATGATCATGCTTATCTGCATGTTTTTAATCACAGCGACTGTGTGTGTGTGTGTGTGTGTGTGTGTGTGTGTGTGTGTGTGTGTGTGTGTGTGTGTGTGTGTGTGTGTGTGTGTCAGTGCGAGCACTTTAGGAGCTCATATTTTAATGACCAGACTGGAGAAACCCGTGAAGACAAACGAGATAAAGTACAGCGCTTTAAAGTTTTTATTATGAAACACACAGGAATGTTACCAGTCTGAAGGGAGGGCTGTAGCAGAGGCTTGGTCAGGAGGAGAGAGAGGGGGTCAGAGCTGGGGAGATCAGAGATGTTCCAAAAAGGGGCAGGCAAGAGGCAGAATCCAGGATCCAGGTCCGAGGTCAGAAATCCAGGTAATCAGATGCACGAGATAATCCAGGCAGGTTGTAGACAAAGGGGGGTAATCCAAAGGTCCAGAACAGGATCGAGATGTGAGAGCAGAGGGCCAAGAGTGCTGGAGAATCTTCTGGCAAATGCTTTCAATAATCTGGCGCTGGTTTGGTGTTGGTCCTGGTGATCTATAGGGAGCGTTGCAGGTGGAGCTGATGAGGAGTTAATGTGAGGCAGGTGGTTTGGATGAGGTTGATGGTGAGCTGGTTGTGGTTGCTGGGGAAACGGGGCTTGGCTGGAGCAGGGGCAAGGCGCATATGTTCTGCTGCTGTTTAACAGCCTCGCTGGCTTCCCACCTCATCACACACTTAGGGGGTGATGAGTTTTCACAGGTCATATTTTAGCTGCACACGTTGACTCTGTTTATTTTAAGGAGCTTTTTGAAAAGCTTTAAAGTCAGCAGAGAGCAGCGAGGAAGAGGAGCTGTGTGTGTGTGCGTGCGTGTGTGTGTGTGTGTTATTACTGTATTTTATTGCATGAGCATTAGTCTTTCGGGAAGATGTGAAGTACTTTGAATTAATTTCTTCACAGTGCAGCATTTGATCAAATCGCTGTTTGAATTAGCAGGGAAGGTATGAATACATTTTAGGGATATTTCTTTTTCTTTTTTTAAATTAGAGACGTGGAAAAACACAATAAACTGAGTGAGTTGTGTGCGTGTGTGTGTTTGCTCACAGTTTGTTGATGTTCACCTGCGAGTGGCTGTTTTCTTCTTTTGAGATGTAAGATGAAATTTCCTGGATGCCTGCTTCAGTTTCCTCCAATTAGGAGGAATTCAGCACTAAAAAGATAAAATCTAGTCCTCGCTGGACGAGCCAAATACATTCATCCAGACTGAAAACAAGGAAAGCTGTCACAGTTCTTAGAAATGGCTAAATAAAAAAAATCATCTTGGTTAGAACTTTGAGGTCAACTTACATCTTTCTTCTGTTGAAAAGTGGGTCACATTTGGATTTTAGTGATGCTCTCCCATAATTAGAAACATGCTTGTTGGGTTGGGTATGAATGGGCTGCAGGTGTAAGCGGGTGGAATAGTCTGTCTTACTGTGTCCGTCCTGAAGGATTCTGGCTGGATGCAGCTTTCTGTAATTTGTGACCAAAAACATGTCTGCGTGCTATTTTCTATACCTGCTTGATGCTGATCAGGGGCCATTGGCTGATGGCTAATCTAGAGTCACTAATTAACCCAACATGCATGTTTGTAGCCTGTGGGAGGAACCCAGACTGCCTGGAGAAAACCCATGCATGCACAAAGAGTACATGCTAAACATGCACATGGAGAAGTCCCAGGTGGGAGCTGAACCCCTGACCTCCTAGCTGGGAAGCGGCACTGCCCCCCCCCCCGCCCCCCCCCCCCCCCCCACACACACAAAAGTCTCAGCAAGGCTGTAAATTGCCATAACTATATCAACATGCTCCTATTATAATTGTTATTCCTGCCCACCATCATAAAAGAGGAACATGTAACCTGATTTAGTACAAACGACACAACTGTGCCGAATGTTTAGGAGATTGTTGCTTTGATATCTTTGCACCGTTATTAAAAGCTGTGCTAAATTCCCAGTCGTTCTTACAAAATAGCAAAAAACCTTTCAAAATGGAATTTTAATCAGAAACTCCACAAGAATTAATAATCAGACTGTCTATTTTTAACTATGTTTTAGTGGTGCTGTTGGGAGTTTCATCAGCTTTAATTTGTTTGTGTCTGGTTTTTTTCCCCCGTTGCTTTGAGACCCGTCATTTTTTATTTTTAGCGGAGCAGCAGACCTCATGGCCTTTATGGGTCCCTGAGTGATGGAGGGGCTGAGAATGTGGACTTTCCCTAAACACGAACACTCGCAGGCAGACAGACACACACTGTGTTTTAAAACAACTATGAAAGTGTGAACAGAAAGTGGGATGTGCCAAACTCATTATGTGGCCTGTAAATGGTGCCTCTTCGGATCCTCCTTACTCTGAGGTCACTTTGTCCTTCCAATCTGCTCTGCAGATGAACTGAGCTCAGAGCCAAGAGTGAAGTTCATTAGTGAAACAGAAGTCAGAGTGTGCGGCCACCTTGCTTGTTCAATGCCTTTTTGCAGTCCCTCCATCCTGGACGCTCATTATATTCACAGATTACCACACACACACACACACACACACACACACACACACACACACACACACACACACACACTGTAAGCTTTGTGTGTGTGTCCGTGCAAACAACACACACTTGCTCATGGATGGACGCCGGTCCCTGCAGATTGTGAGTCGGGTGGTGGTTTTGTTATTCAGATATCTGTAACTGGTCTCTGATCTTGGTGCCTGTGGGATGGGTTACCATAGCAATCCACGTGACCTAGAGTCAAGTAGTCTCTTGTGTTGAGCCAGGCAGACTGACAGGCGAAGTCCGATTGTGACATTAGGAGACCAGAGCACCGCGTAAATCTACGGGAAGCCGAGAGTGAAACCCAACGGTGAGACTTTGTCAAGTTCTGGAATGAAATGAAAATGAAATGAAAAATTTGTGTGTTCCTCGCAAAAGATGAAGCATTGACCTTAAAGCTCTTTGCACATTCACCTTGGTCATTCAGCAACCTCTGTTATTAGCTGTACAAGTGACAGGCAATTATTATATACTGTATGAGCATAATGTCAGATGGGACGAGAGAAGTTCCCTTCAGAGGAGGAAAAGTCCAACTGCTCATTACTGCACGTGAAACCGTCACATCTCTTTGTTGGGTAACCTTATCTCCGGCTGCACACCACTAACATTTCCTCTTTCTGTCCAGATGTACCATCCAGAAGGAGTGTGCTCGAGGGCTGCTGGCTCGCTCTTGGATCACCCTGGGTGAAGGCCCCCAGCAGTGTCCTTCCATTACCCTGACACCCCCAGAGATCAGCATCTCTGCCAACATCAAGGTAGCGTCAGTTCTCTTTATGCCGTTGTTACCGTGACCTTTTCATGAGCCAGCCAGACGTGGCTGCTGGTCTTTAGAGAAGCACGGCAGCAATGGGGTCACCGTATTTAAAGCTGATTTCTCAAAAACATTTATAACGGGACGCTGTTATCATCACCCAGCCTATTAATATAACTCAGCTAACACACACACACACACACACACATACACACACACACACACACACACACACACACACACACACACACACACACACACACACACACACACACACACACACACACACACACACACACACACCACTCTCACATTGTATGCATGTCTCGATTGTGAGCCACGTGTGAGATTTCCTGTAGTAGCCAGGTGTGTGTTGGCTTTTGAACCTCTCAAGTGTGAACAGTGTGTTTAAAGGACTGCCACACAGGTCTCTCTGTAATTAAAGCTGAAACTTGCCTTTTATCTCCTTCTAATTTTAATTCCTTGAAGCACGGGCCCTTTAAACATGGAGGATGTATTTGGTCACATGTGAAAATGAGATTATTGTTGTAAAATGGTGAATATTTATCATGAGTTTACACACGAGTGTGCAAAAGTTTTCAGTCTGTTTCCAAGGAGTCGAGCTTTCTTGTAATCCAGCGGTGTGGAACCCTGTCCGGCATGTTTTAGGTGTTTTCCTGATTCACTGGTTAGGTTACCCATTCATCGTGTCACTGAGCTCTGCACACGCCTGTAGATCGCCTGCTGATATAAATCAGGTGTGTTGAAGCAGAGAGACCTCTAAAAGATGGTGGAGAAGGGTCCTCAAGGCCCAGGGTTGGACACCACTGTTGTAAACTTGAAGGGAAATTGCTTTGTCTCAAGTTTTGAATCCAGTACAGGGCTACTCAAGTCCAGGCCTCAAGGGCCAGTTTCCAGCACATTTTAGTGATTTCTCTGCTCCAGCACACTAGATTGAGTGCTTGCGTCACCAGTGCAGTAGCTCATCAGGCTCTGCAGAAGCCTGTTAATCACCTGCTGATCGAGATCAGATGTGTTGTTGCTGAGGTAAAACTAAAACATGCTGGATACCGGCCCTCAAGTCCCAGAAATGAATAGCAAAGAGGCTCTGATTTCCCTCTCCCCAGCCACTTGGGCCAGCTGCTCTGGGGGAATGTTCACTGTCCAGCCGAGACACATAGTCCTTCCAGCGTGGGTCTTCCTTTAGCTCTCCGCCCGGTTGGACGTGCCTAGGAAACCTCACCAGGGAGACGTCCAGGAGGCATCCTGACCAGATGCCTGAGCCACCTCAACTGGCTCCTCTCGACGTGGAGGAGCAGCGGGTCTACTCTGAGCCCTCCCCGGATGACCGAGCTTCTCACCCCTCCCATTTAAGGGAGAGCCCAGCCACCTAGGAGGGAAAACTCATTTCGGCCGCTTGTATTCGTGATCTTGTTCTCTCGGTCACTACCCAAAGCTCGTGACCACAGATGAAGGTAGAAACGTAGATCAACTGGTAAATCAAGAGCTTTACCTTCAGTCTCAGCTCCCTCATCACCACAACAGACCGGTACAACGCCCGCGTCACTGCAGACGCAGCACCAATCCGCCTGCCAATCTCACGCTCCATCTTTCCCTCACTTGTGAACAAGACCCTTAGATACTTGTTTGTGAAATAATTTAAATCTGAATTATGAATCATTCAGACATGAAAAGCTCTTGAACTCAGCACATTACCTGGTGGTTGTTTCAGCTTGTTTATAGCAATAAAAAACACGAGTTTTAAACACTTTGTTACAGCAGCTTGGCAGAAAAAGACAAGATGATTACATTGCTGGTTGAATATATATAAAAAAATCCACAGAAAACAGAACTTAACAGGAAAAAAATGGTTATTTTAGCATAAAAAGCCAAAAGCTTTGCTGTGTTTAATCAAGACCCAACTTTCAGATTCTGCTCATCTGTAGATTTATAACAGCCTCTTTTTTTCTTCTGTCCTCCATGTTTCAGGTTCCTTATATTTTCAGAGCATGTGATAAAATAAAATATGCTGTCCTGGCCAAGTGCAATAGCAAAAACTAAAGTCAAGAGAAAACCTCTTTAGAAACTACGGAGCACCTGGAGAATTCTAGTTGAAAACTACTACTGTTAAACATCACCAGAACGTTTGGCTCTTTTGCAACAAAATATACAGAAATGAGTGGTTTTTGCACAGCGTTGTTCTCACGTCTGTCTGATGAACAGTAATCCAGAAATATTCAGATTATTCTATGTGTGTTTTCATGTGTCAACATGCAGTCTATAGCTGCTTGATGTGTGCTGACACGTCAGCTATTTTAGGAAAAACAAAAGAATATATTAGTACTGGTGTGTGTGTGTGTGTGTGTGTGTGTGTGTGTGTGTGTGTGTGTGTGTGTGTGTGTGTGTGTGTGTGTGCCATTTACTGAAACAAATACGCGATTCTTGTCTTTAATCTCAGATTTCTTTTTTTTTTTATAAAAAATTCATTTTTCCACTCTGCTCTTTATGAGAGTTTTTATGAAACTGTCAGTTGGTAATCTGCAGTGTTTTTGTTTACTTCTAGCCAGTCATGGTGGAGGAAAACGCTGAATGCATTTTGTCTCTAAGAAACAAAAATGGTTCATTTCAGCCTCCTTCCTATGAGGAGTTTCATCCTCTGTAGAAAACTTTTGAGCTTTCCTTCGTGATCCAGGTCTTCATTCCTTCAGTTTATGTTCTGCAAATAAATATTGCGCCGTCGACTTTGGGTTTTAGTTGAACCTGTAACGCGTAGAAACAAACGGTGGCTTTATTGCTGCACCTGAAAGCAGAAATAATCCGTTTCTGACATTCATTTAAGGCCTTCTCTTCACTTTTATCTACAACAACAGTGTCGGTTTTATTTGAAGCCACCGGTCTGCTTTAATCAGTCTTGGCAGGATAATGGATCTGGGTTCAAAGAGGTGCCTGATTAGTCTGACATGCAAACTGTTGTTGTTAATCACTCCTGCTAGTCAGTGTATCCTATAACAGAGAGACAGCAATGCCATGATCGGATCACGGATCTTTGCCACACGGAAAATATTTGACCTTTAATTAAAGATCTTAATTTGATGCAAGTCAGAGACGACAGGTCATTAATTGGTTCATTAATTGTGAATATTTGCTTGTGAAGGAGGATGGTCCTCAGCAGGCTGCAGTTGCTTCACCGACTGACTGAGTCGTCAGCAGGGAGCTCAGCTCATGGTTGTCACTAAACAGGAAGTAGCAGGCAGGAAGTAGGCGCCTTAGCCAGGAAATGATCAATCCCACCAAACAATAGAGACGGTTTTTGAAAACACGTCAGCACATGTTGCTGTCCACCTCAGCTCCTACCTGCCGAGACTCTTGCCTCCCCCCCACCTCCCCACCCCGCCCATTTCTTCTCACACTGAAATCATTTAGTTACAAATCCAACATGCCGGTGAGGTGTTATGTTTCTCATTATACATCTGTCATACTTCATCTCGTTCCCAGTTTTAGATGTGAAACTAGCACTCTGCCATCTGTTTCTTCATTACACAGTGGTTCCTCTATTTTCCTGAACTCCTGAGCGTTCTTCAACTAAATCCAAGCCCATCCACCTTCTCAGTGACTAAGTGTACCAAAACTACACCAGAATAACGCATTTGTGGTATGACGAATTGGAAATAATTATTTTTTTCCCATCAACATGCTTTTTCTGCTTCTGTGTGTGATGTAGGATGTTGGCATCCTGATAAATGGCAGTGTTCCTGATCTGATTGGCTCACGGGTGGAGTGCGAATACAGACCTGGAATTTCTACTGCTGCCACGTTGCACCTGGACTACGGTCCCGCCCAGATCCAGACATGCCCCCTTCTTCCTCGAGAGAACTACCGGCCAATCCCCCCAAGGACAGGCAAGACACCTCCATATGTCAAACACACCTTTCCACAGTTACTGTGTATGATTCATCTTTTCAGTGGAACAGATGTCATTTCCTCTTTTGTGTTTCATAATACAGCAAAATGTGTGCAGCGTCAGGTTGCAGAAATGTTTAGCTTGTCTCGTAGAAGCAACGTTGTCTCCAAATGATCGTGATAAAAAAACGGGCTTTTGTTTCTGCAGACCACCTGACTGTTTCTGTAGCCATAAAAGTGAACGGCACATCTGTGGTATCTGGGAGCTTCATCATCTATGACTGCGAGAGGACTGGAGCCATACACCCAAAGACATCGTGAGTCTCAGATTTGATGTCGCTGTTGGAGTTAGTGATGCTTGGTCAGGCTGGAGGCTCACTGGATCACATTAGACTCAGATTCAAGTTTTATTTTGTTAAGGTATTGAAACGCATTATTGCTGGGATGGTGAGCTGTAACCGTTGGTAGCGGCACGTTGGACAGCATATAAAATGTACAAATGTGATTTCAAGTTACAAAAGTATCCAAGATTTTGGTGAATTTAATTTAGTTTAGTTTATTTATATAATGCCAATTCACAACAAGAGTTATCGCAAGCTAACCATTAACATTAGCAACTCCACCACATGGCAGAATCTCCTCCAGGCTTGTAAAACATCAACATTGCAGAGCAAACGGAGTCAGTGGTAGAGTTGTGTTGCTGCAGATCTGTCTGCGCTGAAACGGACATTTTTGGGCTTTTTTTGCCCTGAGTACGGCTAGCAAGGCATTCATTTCTACCAGATACCACCACAAATGTATTGATTAAACAAGTTTACCACATCTTTAAACGTGTCTAAACCAGGGGCAGCGAACCCTGGTCCTGACAAGCCACTATCTAGCATGTCTTAGTTGTTTCCCTGCTCAAACACAGTTAACTCAGGTGTTCAGCAGCTCACCAGGCTCTGTAGAAGCACGTTAATCACCTGCTGGTGAAACTCAGGCCCGCTGAAGCGGGGAAACCTCTAAAACATGCTGGATAGTGGCTTTCTAGAACTGGAAGTTCCTACCCATGGTCTAAACAGTCATCTTAGCATCTTTTATGACTTCTAAACAATTACAGTTCAGATTTTTTTCAACTGTGTGATGATGTCATGCACTATTTTACAATGTCTGAACTTTCATACGTGATTGCAAACACATTCTCCTTACACCCCCAACCTTTTACCACATAATACATTGAAACGTTTTCAATGATGTGATCTATGGTTTAAAATCCAAATGCACTTGACTTTCCTTTTAACACCTCCACTACAGCCAGTTCAAAATGTCAATTACTGTTTCAGATGAACCCGTTCCTGTAGATCGGTGTTTAACTGTAGAGGAACATGCTCAAACAAGCTGCATCTGCAATGAAACAATAAAACACCAGATTATTCATATACATTTTTTAGATTATTAGCACAAATATCTCTTTATTAATATTTCCTTTTCTCACAGATACAGAATATTAAGTTCACTCCATTACACCCGCCTTCTTAGAGGACTAAACACCAACAAACTGAGCTTGAATAACCAATAAACTTAAACCAGAATGTCAGCCTTTAATCTTCCTGGTATTTTGGAGCTGAACACACAGCTGTTCAGCAACGCTTCTCTTCTGTGTTTGTCTCCTCTGCGTCCCCAGTCTCCTCATCAAATATTTTCCGCTGCTTTCTATTTAGGCCACGCTGGGTAAACACCGCCAACATGTCCTCTTGGAGAGCTTATCATGTGTTTGGCTTGCTCAAGGTTTCTCAGTGCAGGATCAAATGTTGGATTGATATTCTGTAAATGTTAAGCCAAAGGAAATTAGATATGTGTGTGTGTGTGTGTGTGTGTGTGTGTGTGTGTGTGTGGTTGATCAGTGGTGTTTGTTTTTGTGGAGGACTGTGACTGGTATGGCCCGGTCACAAAGACGGTTTTCTCATATCTGGAGGCCATCCAGCTGGCTTCCTCCTGCATGTTGGACCATGTCGGAGGATCCGCTCTATCTGATGGGCAGATCTTAGGCTTAAAGCTCCATCACCGTGTGTGTCTTTGTGTGTGTGTGTGTTCTGATCTTCTCAGATCAGAACACACTGGTTTTTCCCTTTTGTTCACTTTTTGAAAGCAGTTTCGAGGTGTGAATGCAGCAGTCGCAGGTATACTCGTGCAACGCTGAACCCAATATGTGCACGTTGCCCCGGCGCCTGGTGAGGTCCAGGAGTGTGAAATTAGACGGCGGCTTGTTGAAGGTGATAATGAGCAAAGCGCCGTTCTCACAGGATGAGCATTACGCTGGAAGGTGGAGAATGGCTTTACTTTGTGATCAGATTCCCTTCCTGCTGGTTTTTAAATTGTGACTTTTGTGATACACTTACACTGAAAGACAGGTGGAGCTTTTGTTTGGTTCCCCATGAAAACAGCCATCAGCAGGCTGATAGATGCACAGTGAAGGGGCAGCAGAGAATCTCTCTGATGAGACAATCATCAGATGTTTCTCTGTTTGAAGTAAAATGTTTTTATTAAGGATTTAAATGTGAAATATAAATTATTGTGTCACAAGTTTAGGTTCAACCCTTTGGGGTCCACACCAAATGAAAAACAACACAGCATTTGGGCCATCAAGGGTTTAAAAATGCAATAATATTACGGTAATGATGAAACAAATGAATAATATTTAACTTTTCATTCAAACATCTACATAGTTTTTAGATCTTTTTTCTTTTGTGGGCGTTTGGGGCTTACACTTTGTGCGCAAATGTCAGTTTCTATGTTTAGATTCACTGAATTATCGTTTCATAGTTTTAAAACCAATCAGACTTTTTCTTGTAGATATTGTAACATATAATCTCGTAAATGTGATTTTATTATCCTGTAACATGTGAAGATTGTACAATCTGCTGAAGTATTTGTAAAAATGGTAAATGGCCTGTATTTGATATAGCACCTTCTAGAGTTCTTGGAACCCCCCAAGGCGCTTTACAACACAAATCAGTCATTCACCCATTCACACACACATTCACACCCTGGTGGGGATGAGCTACGATGTAGCCACAGCTGCCCTGGGGCGCACTGTGAGAGGCGAGGCTGCCGAGCACTGGCGCCACCGGTCCCTCCGACCACCACCAGCAGGCAAGGTGGGTTAAGTGTCTTGCCCAAGGACACAACGACAGCGACAGACTGAGTGGGGCTCGAACCAGCAACCTTCCGATTACGGGGCGAGCACTTAACTCCTGTGCCACCGTCACCGTGTCCTTATATTTATGTTGAAGCTGTGAGTTTGCTTCTCCTGTTGGTCTGAATGAAACTGGACAGCTGAAACACAACAGTAAAAACCCAAATAGAGTTTTGTGTGGAGTTCCAGTTTGGTGGTGGTTTGAATTAAGATATCTCGATTCCGACCAGCCATTCAGACCATGCTGTGCCCCATTTAGTCGATGATTACGTTCATTTTTTATTGGCTGCAGCTGAAAGGCAAGTGAAAGGTATGAATATTTTTGCCCCTGGACATGAGAGTGCATCCTTGTTTCTCTGTCTGTCTGCAACATATCTCATTAACCACTAAACAAAGTTTAACGAAACTCTTTGAAAATTAATATTGATTAACCCTTTGATGCATAATGGTCACTACAGTGGACAGGTACTCAAAATTGTTACTTATTTGTTTTTGCTATTAAGCACAGCTGTTGAAGACTTTATTGCATTTGAGCCCCTCCTCCAGTTGGACTTCAGTAAGTCAAGCAGACATATTTCATGTTCAGAATGCACGCTGTCCACTGAGGGAACATGTAATAAATTATTTGTAAATTTTTAACTGTTACAAAAACATCTGTTGAAATTTGTTTCATTCACACCTAAAGATGAATGAAAACAATTGTTAAAAAAATCTTGGTCGAAGATTTCATCATTTATGCATCAAAGGGTTAAACTCAACCTGATCCAAGATGGCCGCCAATGCTGATTCATATTAGCAATCATAAAAATGGCTTTAGTTCAGCCA